AAATGTAGAGGATCGTTGAACTGATGCATAAAAGAAGATGAAATATGAATTATCTGAGGGCTGTTCCTCGTATCCAAGGATAGATATAAGAAATGTTGTATCATTTCCCGGGGCTTGTCCAGGAAGCACAGTTGCTCTTTTTATGCAATGCCACCAACCCAACTTATATTTGGTATCCTGCTCCTTATCTTTCCCATGTGTGCAATTTTGAAACAATTTTGTAGTTGCTACATATTATTAATTCTGGAGACGCAAGCTGAAAAGCTGAGTTAGATTGGTAAGATCACAAGAATTAAATGCATAGCTAATATGCAGTGAGAACTGGCTTCTGTCATACAGCCTTGATAAGAATGCCATATTATCATTCAGTGATTATATCTAGAATCATAGAATCCCTACAGTGTGGAAACAGGCCCTTTGGCCCAACAAGTCCACACTAACCCTCAGAGAATCCCACCAGACCCATCCCCCCTAATCAAGGCATCCCTGGACACTATGGACAATTTAGCATGGCCAATCTACCTAGCCTGCACATCTTTGGACTGTGGGAGGAAACTGGAGCACCCAGAGGAAATCCACGCAGACACAGGGAGAACGTGCAAACTCCACGCAGACAATCGCCCGAGGGTGGAATCAAACCCAGGCCCCCGGCACTGTGAGGCAGCAATGCTAACCACTGAGCCACCATGCTGCCCCAAATATCTAATTTGTTAACAACAGAAGAAGGCTATTCAGCCACTGTGCCTCCAGATATTGTTTGGGCTCTCCTTCCGCCTGGATCTGAGTGTTCATCCTGTTTGCCCATGGAAGGGCATGTGACCGAGGATAAGCCATCTACTTGGTGGTGATGTGGCCTGTGTTCTTGCCAAGCAGCAGGGGTGAAAGGTAACACTTCAAATGCTGCTTTCAAGTTGTAGTGAAGACTGGATGCAGAGACATGAAGCTGGGTGAAGAAGCTTCCAAGAAGTATACTGTCATGCAGAGCAAGAGCTGTAACCTCTGACCTGGCCATGCCTCGAGCTCTTCAGAGTAATTGATCAAAAACATGTAACTTTTTACTGATGCTGTCACGCTGCAGTATTAGCTTACTGCTACCCAACATGTATTTTGTATTAAAGGAATGCTATTAACTGAACTGTTCATTCATCTGTCCAACCATGGCCATCACAAATCTAGAGCTGCTGACCTTCAGAGAGCAATTTTTCAGAGATCTGCAGATTTACTACTCTCCAAATCATATTTCTCCTTTCTTAAATTCTAATGGTCTACTCCGATCATTGCAATCTGAATCTGATTATTGGGCAATAATCAAAGCTAACAATCTATTTCCGTAACATTAATAATTGGTTTCAATTTTTGGTATGATATACTGTCGCTAGTTATCAATGTTTATTTTCCATGAGACCTTTTTACAGTTGTTAATCCATCTTCATGCATCAGAATGGTAAAACTGTCACTGTGGAGGAGGACAAGTTAATATTGAACTCATTTTTGAAGTAAACATCTAGAATAACCTTGATTTCAGGGACAGACAGCTTAGAGTAGGTTCTTATTTCATGTGGATAGGTCTGTTGTCAGCAGAGCAGCTTGGTGGCTTGACAAATACGTAAACCTAAGTACTTCTGAAAGCAAGGTAAGTGTAATATGTGACAAATACAGCTGTATGTACACATATAGCAATAAACAAAGGATGCCAATCACTTCAAGAAAAAGCTACCTTTTTTAATTCTTTCTTTATTTATTAATATCTATTTACCTAATCAATGGGCAGACTCTTCCCAGGCACTGAATGGCATCAGCATTGGTGAGTAGGCTGGGTAAATCGTTCAGGATTGGCTGTGAGGTGATTCTGTCTGTTGAGAGTAAAATGTCCCTTTTTCCAACCTGGTGAGACTCCAACTCACTGCTTCCTCTTCCAGTCTTGTATACCCATTAACAATATCTCAGGGTGTGCTGCACTTACAGTGACCAACTACATCCCCTACGATGGAGATTTGTATGGTCACCATTAGACTCTTTATTCTAGATTTTTAATCAAATTGAAATTCCACCATCTGCTATGGTGGGATTTGAACCCAGGTTTCCAGAGCATTACCTAGGTCTCAGTTGAGCAATGCAGTAATAATACCGCTAGGCCATCACTTCCCCAAGCTACTATTGCCACTGAACCCACATGGCACATCACTGATCTAAATACAATACAATCTTCACTTCAGTGCTGCACTTTGGAGTGCACCAACACCTTTCATTGCAATGTTGCTGCCAGAACATTTTACACACATCGACAAGCAGCCACCTCGCGGCCTCAATCAGGGTGCACTTGTTTTCGTAGTGCTCACTCACTTTGCACCTACTTGGGTACTCACTACATATCTGACAGGTCCTGCCTTGCCTTGCCCTACCTTTTCACACTTTGCCCCCTCAGCCAGAGCAGTAAAGACTCACAGCACTTCTGTCTTGCATTACCTTTTCATGCAGACACAAAGGCCAGCTTGCCTTGGTTGTCAACAGCGATCAGTCAAGGTGATGGACATGTTGCTGTACATACACTGTACTATGTCAATCCCACAGCTGCACCATGTGCCTGTTGCGTATATGACAAACACACTACATGTACTTCAACCAAATGGCTATGTAGTATAAGGGGAGTAATCCTAAGTCAAGTCAAGGGAGACAGTCTTCTGTCAGGGACAAATAAACCAAAGAACTGCAGGTGCTGGAAATCAAAATCAAAAACAAAAATTGCTGGAAAATCTCAACCAGTCTGGCAGGATCTGTGGAGAGAAAGCAGAGTCAATGGAAACATGTTACAAAGAATATATTCACCATCAAAGGATGGAAGCTCAGATGGAATAGTAAATACATGATAGGATGTGGGTTTGGAGAGGGCATCGAGTCAGAGGGAAGGGAACAGGAGGAAAATTCCAGAGGGGTGTGGCTTTCTCTAAGTTGTTGCATCTTGCGTTCCTTAATGCCTAAAAGGAAAAGAAAAAAATTAGAATGTTGAATGAGCCAGATGATGAAGTGGAACCAGGTGGCAGGGCAGCTCTGAGCCAGCGTGAGGCGGTGCTGATGGAGAGAGAGGGCCAGAGCGTGCAATACGGCAATGCAGGGCACTGAGTGTGGATCTCAGGATGCAGTGAAAGCAGCTGTCTGAGGAATGTTGCATATCACAGAGATAAAATATTTAAAAGAATACATTCAGCATTGGTGTGCAGAAGGTCAAAAGTTCTGAAGAAGTGTCACTGGACCTGAAACGTTAACTCTGCTTTCCAACCACAGACCTGCTGAGTTTCTCAAAACTCAAAATTTCTGCTCTTTTTCTTCTGGCAAGGGCTACTGTCACAATAAATCCAAGGGCCAGGGCTTTGGACATAATCAGCTGGTTGCTTGGGCCTGTCACGGTCAAGAGCCTCTTCTCGTAGAGAGTGAGGAGCCCAATGTCAGGCTTTCTCCACAACACCATGAGCTTTCTTTCTTCTGGAATGAGAGAAGGGAGGCGATCAAAAGGGATGAAAATGGTTGGGACAGCTATTATTGCTGGTGCAGGTGGCAGAAAGGTAGTGAGTTGTCCTGAGTGAGTGCTAGAGCATTGCAGAGTCTTGTTGTGTTAGTGGTGTTCGAGGTGTTTGGGTGGGTGAGAATGAGTGAGGGAGAATGTTCCACGTTCACATTTAAACCCCAAGTGTAAACTGTCAGTGTGGCTGCAGCCTGTTGTCAATTTAAAATGTGAAAAATTAATGAAAAATGTTGCATTAATGTGGCACAGTTTATTGAATAAATTAATTATTAGAATTCTTTTAACCATGATGAAAAATGTTTTGAAAACTATCAGATTCATTGCACTGAATCTTACATTTTTTTAACCTAAGTTTGAGTTGTGTCAAGTATTTTTTTTCACCATGTGCCCTAGCGGGTTCTGTCACCATATCTCACCAAATGCGCCTCTACCTCATCCATATGGAGTCCTTCACATCAAATTATGGTCCCATCTTATCACACACTGTTTCCAGAAACATTCACCAGATATTCCAGAAATCACCAGTGTCCCATTGACTGAAAAGGGAGCTTTGAGTTATACACAGGCTATTTGCAAAACCACATCAGATAAATTCATGCACCATGATCTATGGTGGTGTCCTCAAGCAGCACTCCTTTGAGTCATTCGTTTAAACCATGTTCCTGTAATGGCTGGCATATAACTGGAATCTGCCATTACAAGGCAGGGTCAAGGGCAGTTATAAATGGAATTTGCAATTAATTTCAACGGTGAATTATAATTTTGTGCATCAGGCAAAGGACCAGTTTTAATATTAGGGAGAGTCCTGCTGTTTTGGAGGTTTGAAGTCTTCATCCATCCATATGCTGAGACAATGGTGATTGCCAACATACAGTGTTGCTGCTGGCAGGCATGTGCATTTACTGTCAGTAGCATTACCACACTCAGCAACACATCATCCTTCATGCGTTGTGTCATATTAAAGTGCAGTTCTGTAGATATCACTGTTCAGTGGATAGTACCTCACTCTACTCATTGTGTGGACAATCTGTGTCATCAAGACATCCTGCTCATGAGGCATTCCATCCAAGCCTAATGTTGAGTCTTCTCTATCAAACTGTTTGATTTCTCCTCTTCCCCCATCTCTCATCTCAGGGACTCTGAAGCTAGTTATAGTGCAGTGGTTCCCTATAAAGAGCAAACTTAATACCTGGGACTTCTCTGATCTGCAGATTTGAGTACCACTACAAGGAGTAGTGTATCTACCAAATTGCTGTGACTTCCTGATTTTTTTTTTTCGAATCTATTAGATGCTAGAGGGTGGCTGACAGTCAATGATGTGCTCTTGGTACAAATTGCCGCTTTCAGAAAAGCAGAGGAGAAAATGTTGGCAGGGGAATAGTGGATATTAAGGTGTGTAGCTACTTCACAAGCTCTAATTCTGCCAGGCTGTATAATTGAAGAATAGTCATTTTCTTTCCTCTATCTTTTTTTCCACCAGTTTATGATCAAAAACCCAAACAAACGTCTGGGCTGTGTCTCAGCACAAGGTGGAGAGCAGGCCATTCTGAGTCACCCCTTCTTTCAAGGAATTGATTGGGATTCACTTGAACAGCGAAAAGTCAAGCCGCCTTTCAAACCCAGGATTGTAAGTCTTCCTAACAAGCTGTGAAAGAATTTGTGTTGCATTCCTTATAGCTGCCTTTAAAATATTGCAAGATTGGTCGTGGGTAACCATGGGCAAGAGCACATTGTTCTCACACTTGGGTTTTTATTTAATGGTTCATGCGTTAGTGCTTCCTGCTTCTGACACAGTGTACTTTGCACTCAAGTGATCGTAAAATGTGTCTGTGTTATGTTTTGGCAACAAGCTTTAAAAGCATTTACTGTGTATATTTTCTCTGTTGAGGCAAAAGCTACACCTTTATGGAATTTATTTAAAATATTTAAAGATTCAATCCTAACTTAGTTACCAGCAGTTTTCTTCACAAGGACGTTTGTGGGATTTCTTAACAGTCCAAAGACGTTATAACCAGAAATACTGGCGTATTTAGAAGGTTGGCTACAGTGTAGGGACAAATTACTAATAATGATTGTAAGTGAATGGCAGACTACCCACTTCCATTCATTTTGCCTCAGACACTCACTTCACAGTCACATTTTGCTGAGAAAGATGTAGTTCTGTTTAACTTGGCAGCCAGAGCTGTGGAATCTGTCTAGTTTATACTGCGGTGCACATTATTTCAAAGCTGCAGACCTGGGAAAGTTTGTACAGCCAATAATCAAATTTATTCAAGCCACCAGCTCTGAAATACTGAGTTTGTGTAGCCAACTGTCATCCGTTTCATCAGCAGACACCATTTTTTGTTGCTGCTCCCAGGTCTGCCATGACTGGCAGTGGAGGAATAAACACTTTCTGTGATTTTTTTTGCCACCTTCTGTCAGCAGAATCGTCCCATTTACTTCATTTGGAGTCAGGGTTTCTATCACAGTAACATTGTAGGTTAAATACAACATGGCCAATGCCCTGCTCCCTTAAGAGGGAATAAACAGAAAAGCACAAAGGGTGTGCACTCGTCTCACGCTGTGGGCTGGATTTAATCAAGGCAAAGTAGTCTCAACCACTGTTAGAGCCAGGTCTTTTACAATCAATTCAAACATAATAGGGCTATATTTATCTCAATTCAAGGAATTTGTAGATTTATTATTTATTTATAAGTTACACTATCAGTAGAAGTATTGTCTGCAATTAACTCAGACATTTCTAAACCAGAATTACTTCTTTACTTCTGGGCTGCGTCATGTATGAGTGATGTGAAATAGTGTAAAGGTACCAAAGAAGAGACATGCGCAGTAAGGTGCTGTGATAAATTCCCAAGCCTTTACAGTTTAACTTAAGCTATGGTATTTTTGTTATCTTCATTCACTATAATGCATGATAAATAAGTCTGCAAATATACAACAGTTGAATGGGCATTTCACATGTGAGCTGGAAAGTAATTAAAATACCTGTCATTGGGTGCAGGTTACCAAGAATAATGAATAAAAACAAATGTACAAGGTTAAGTACTTTGTAAATGGAGAAAATCATCAGTTTTGCAAGGCATAATATCTTGAACATTTCAAAAAAGCATTATGGTGGATTTTACTGTATATCATAAGCTGTGACTTCCTGCTGCATTACTCATATTTATTTGATGTCATTGATTCTGTGGATTTCCCCTTTTGGTTTTCTGATTGTGTTGTTAAAACTGGCGTGAGCCAGTTTAAAGCAAATGAATTAATCTCCCGTCAAAATAATGTTGATTAAATGTCTAGGTTAATATGTTCTTATATGAGCAGTTCCCTAAGGGCAATGCCACACAACAAGTTTGGATTGAATATTCACAGAGATGGAAGGACTTCAAGTATGGTGTGAGGGTGCGATGGCCCTGATTCCACTCCTCTCCAAATCCTGCACTGACATTTTTCCCTTGGCGAAAGGCTGGTATCAGGGTGGGTTTTAGTTAACACATTCATAGTTCACACAGATAGTTGCATGTGTGAACGTGCCTTCATACAGAAGCAGTCTTCACAAGTGTGTTGCCCAGATTGCAACTCATGGGCTTTAAGCATTTGAACATAATGCCTAAAGATCCTGAAAATCTGTGGAGAGGCAAAATGCCCTGTTGGAGAATTCCACGTAGCTCCATGGGAGAGGTCAATGCTCCTTTGAAACAAGTCAGATGCCCTTTGTGATTATTAAAACTAGACATGAACGTGCAAGAAAGGTTAATAAGTGTGAAGTTATCAAGGCATTTAAGTCCATAAGCTCTTTTAAAATTTTGAAAGAGAATGAGTCTTCAGTTGAAAACAATCAGCAAATGGAATTTTGAAAGCTGTCTGCTGACATAATCCTGAGGGTTAACATTCTAGGTTAATCGCTGCATGATGGGTTGTGCAGGCTATCATTTGGTGGTGGGGGATCAGGGCTCTAAGTTCACACTTTGACTGACAGCTTTAAACAGTTATAAAACTTTTGTATTCATATTCCCAAATCAAATGTCTGTATTTTTAAAGAATCAAGCACATGAATGACTTGAAATGTATTGAGTAGGTTATCAATGAGATTTTTTTTTGCAAAAACAGAGAAGTCATCAATAGCCAGTTAAAACATTATTTTATTTCATCTCACCATGACTCCCCGGGGTCTATCTGTGATGAATACTGGATGACACTTTTTCAGTCAAAATTTTAGTAGTCTTTAAACCTTGAGTTTCCACTGTTTCTCCACATTTAATGCCACATCATATCGATTTTTAAGGGCAAACGGTGTTGGTGGGGTGACATGGCACCACGTTGGCATTGGTTTTATAAAGGGCCATGGGGATTAGTGTGGTGGAGTTCATGGCCTGACCTGAGTTGGCAACTAGTTGGCACAAAAGCTGTGAAGGGTCGTGCGGATGGGTGGGGTGGTGTCATATCGAGTATGAGGAGCATGGCAGTGGGTACAGTGGCATAGATGGAGGACATTTGGGATTGTAGGAGGAACATTGGTTGGCATGGAGGTTAGGAGGGACAATGGGAGGTGGGTAGAGAGGTATAGATTATATGGAGTCATGGAGGGGTGGTTGGGGTCAATTTTTAGCATGGGGAGTATGTGGATGTGTGAGGGTTGAGGACTAGGTGTCTGTTTTTGGTCTTATTATTTAGTTTTTACAGCTGGAACTAAATTCCAAAGCATCATAGTGGACCTTTGAAACAAGCCACGTCTTCACCCAACAGCCCTTTGGACTACCTCCATGCTGTTTCTGTCTCAGTGGGTGCAACTCCTGTTAACAAGTCCCCAGTTGAGCTTGAGGTAGCCATCTTAAAATTTCAATGTCACATGGAGAAACATAGGTATAAAATGGAGAATGTAAGCTTTCTCATATATAAAAGTTGTAGCTGTTGGCAAATAACTATTAAAAAAATGTCTCATTTTGTAATTAAAAGCATCAGAGATTAGAATTGACCAGCTCTTGGAATTTTCCCAGCCCTGTGAATGAAAATTTAACCCTCAATCTTGAACAAAACATTTGAGCATACCGCCAGAGAAGAATGAAGTTTAAAGTTGAATGTTTTGCTTGGTTAAGAGAGGTATAAACCCGAGTCAGCTGACAATGTATCTCATTTTTCTTTTCTGTCAGAAAACAAACAGGGATGTAAATAATTTTGATCGAGACTTCACCACAGAAAAGCCTGTACTGACGCCAGTTGATGAATCCCTGATCCGGATGATCAATCAGGATGAATTTAAGGGATTCTCATTTGTTGCTGAAGAAGTGGGAGCTTGAAATATGAATCTCAATCCATTGGTGAGAAGACAGTTTCAAAACTCTGACAAGTCCTGGCACAAGCAAGTGGAACAGTTATTCCAATGCGATGACAGAGAAAATTTATTCAGGCAACATCATCATTTACAGTTGCTGAAAGAGAACTGGCATGCTATTTATATTGAATTTTGGTGTTGTGTAACTTTGTGACAGTAAGTGGCTTTGTGTTGTTGTCCATTATCTTTCCACCATTCTGAATGTCAGAACAGATTTTCATCAGTCATTTACAAATAAGTGTTGTTGCAGTGAATCATTACTGAACTGTGCATCTATCTTTTAAACTCAGCCATTTAGATATTTAATGAGCTCCGTATTGATAAGTAAAAACTGAAATTTGTTACAAGAAAGCAATTCTACACTTTCATAAATGGTAATTGACTCTTTTCAGTGGCACTTTGTTTTCAGGGACCCACCTATTTGTTTATGTGGGCTGGAATAGCTTGCATGCCATCATACCATGTACTTTGCTGTCTGCTTGAAGTAGCCATTTTAAAATTTGGGTGCATTATGGAGACACATAGATATGGAATGGAGAGTGGAATCTTTCCTGTGCTTGTAAGTTATAGCAGTTGGAAAATAAATGTTACAAAAATGCTTATTTTGTATGAATATGGCATCTAAGATTATAATTGCCTTATTTTTGGAAATGCACAATACAGGAGATGTGATGGCATGAGCAACGATAAACTGATGACGTGTAGAGTTTTGTAAACCTGTGCATGGGGATGGGTAGGAGAGTTTCTGCCTGCACTTGATAATCCAGCATCATGAATGACATATTACTGTTGTCCTGTTCAATTGTACAGTGTTGTGGCTCATTAAAGTTGACCAGATTTTTTAAAAATGCAGCTTTGTTCTTAAAAGAAACCTGGATTAAGTGGAACCAAAGTGAGTAAGCTTCCCTTTGGTTGGTTGTTTCTGTCGCTCACTCTCAATCCACTTTTCCCAATATATTAATTTCATTCTTCTTTATTTATTTTGTGTAGATTGCCCACTAATAAGGCATATTCCTTATGGCACAGCTCCAGAGTGTAAAAGCAGTTGCACCCTTTAGCTATGACTACATTCTTAATTGAAAAGCTGTTGCCACTTATAAAGGTATCCAAGGGGGACAGTTGGAATAAGAGATACTTCTCTTAATCATAGTAAAATAATCCTTCTCGGCACTTTAATTTCAATAAGAAGGCAGATAAAAAGCCAACAATAGCTGCAATAACAGCTTATATTTGTATAGCACCTTTATTATAATCAAGCATCCCAAGGAACATCAAAGGAGCAACATAAAACAAAATATTACCCTATGCCAAAAATGGACGTGTGTTTTGTGGAACTTCTTCAAGGAAAAATTAGTTATGGAGTCAGATAGGTGTTTGGAGTATATTCTAGAATGTAGGGCCTCAGCCGCTGAAGGCTAACTACCAGTGGTGGGCCAATTAAATCAGGGAGCTCAAGAGGCCAGAATTGGAAGAGTGTGGGTATTCTAGAGGTTTGTGGCCGTGACTGAGTTTCAGCAATGGATGAGCTGATGTTGGCAAAGTTGGACAATGTTATTTACGTACAAATAGGTGATCTTAGTGATGGAGAGGGAGTCTGATCAGGAGCTCATCACAAGGTCAAATTTGACCCAAGATTATAAATGAACTAGTTTCCTCTCAGAGAGTTGCCAGGGAGATGGGTGCTATTGGTAGCAAGAGAGCGGAGTTTGAAACAAAGAGGGAAAACAATGCCTTCATTCTGCTTCACATTTGACTGGAGGAAATTTCTGATCATCCAGTCATGGATGTTAAAAAAATCAATTGGTTAACTTAGTGACAGTGGAGGAATTGAGAGAAGTGATGATGAGTTTGAGCTTCAAAATCAGGATTCATGGAAAACAATGTGCTTTCAGGGGATGTTGCAAAGGGACAGCATAACAATGAGAAATAAGAGGGGAGCAAGGATTGATTCTTAGAGGGCATCAGAATTAACATGAAGGTGACATTGCAGCAGGATTACCTAACCATCTTCAGCTGGTTCATCAATGAACTTCCCTCCATCATAACTTCAGAAGATGGGATTTTCAATAATGGTTGCACAACATTCAGCACCATTTGTGACTGCTGAGATACTGAAGTAGTCCATGTCCAAATACAACAAAATCTGGACAATACCCAGATTTGGGCTGACAAGTGGCAAGTAACATTCATGCCACACAAGTGCCAGGCAATGCCATTTCCAACAAGGGAGAGTCTAGCTATCACTCTTTGACATTCAATGGCATCACCATCCTGAATCCCTCACTTTCAACATCCTGAGGGTTACAATTGCCCAGAAATTGTACTGGACTAGCCATAAAAACTGTGGTGACAAGGGCAAAGTCAGAGGCTAAAAATCCTGCACAAAAACAAAGTTGCCGGAAAAGCTCAGCAGGTCTGGCAGCATCTGTGAAGGAAAAAACAGAGTTAATGTTTCAGATCTGGTGACCCTTCCTCAGAGCTGATGGTGGCTGGGAAAACGTCAGTTTATATGCAGAAAATAGGGAGGTGGGTGCGATAGGGAGTAAACGATAGGATAGAGCCCAAAGAGAGAGAAAGACAGTTGGACAGACAAAGGAGTTGCTAATGATCAGGCTGCGAGGGTGAATAGATGTTAATGGGGACTGTTAGTGACTAACAACAGGGGGTGTGTAATGGCAGACTATGTGGTAACAAGGCCTGGTGTGTGGGATAGGGGGCTGGGACATGGGAGAACTTAGGCCCTAAAAGTATTGAACTCAATATTGAGTCCGGAGGGCTGTAGGGTCCCCAGGCTAAAAATCCTGCAATGGATAACTCACCTCCAGACTCCCCAACACCTGCCCACCATCTACAAGGCACAAGTCAGTAGTGTGATGGAATACCTTCCACTTTCCTGGATGACTGCAGCTCCAAACCACTCAAGAAGCTTGACACAAACCACAATACAGCAGCCTGCTTGATTGCCACCACATCCATAAATATTCAATCTATCAGCAACCAATGCTTAGTAGTGGCAGTGAGCACACCTACTAGATGTACTTCAGAAATTCACCAAAGATCCTTAGGCAACACCTTTCAAACTCACCACTGTGATCATCTATAACGACAAGGGCAGCAGATACATAGGAACACTATCACCTGCAAGTTCCCCTCCAAGCTACCCATCATCCTGACTTGGAAATATATCACCATTGCATCAGAGTCACTGGGTCAAAATCCTGGAACTTCCTCCCCTACAGCATTGTGTGTCTACTTGGACAAAATGGACTGTAATTGGTGGTATAGTAGACCGTGAAGAAGGTTATCTAAGATTACTAAGGGATCTTGATCATTTGGGCCAATGGGCTGAGGAGTGGCAGATGGACTTTAATTTAGATAAATGCAAGATGTTGCATTTTAGTAAGACAAACAAGAAGTAAGACTTACAAAGTTATGGTAGGGCCGTGGAGAGTGTTGTATAACGGAGAGACCAAAGGGTTCAAGTACATAGTTGCATCACAGGTAGACAGAGTGGTAAAGAAGGCATTTGGCACAATTGCCTTCATTGCTCAGAACCTTGAGTATAGGAATTGGGATGTCATGTTGCAGTTGTACAGGATGTTGGTGAGGCCACTTTTGGAGTACTGTGTACAGTTCCGTTCACCCTGCTATAGTAAGTATATTATTAAATTAGAGAGGGTTCAGAAAAGATTTACAAAGATGTTACCAGGACTGGAAGGCTTGAGCTATAAAAATGGGCTGGATAGCATAAAAGGTTGAGGGGTGATCTTATAAGAGGTTTATAAAATCATGAAGAGCAGAGATAAGGTTAACAGCAAGTCCTTTTCCCTAGGGTAGGGGAGGCCAAAATTAGAGGGGCATAATTTTAAGGTGAGAGGTGAAAAGATTTAAAAGGGACCTGAGAGTCAACTTGTTCACACAGAGGGTGGTTCATACATGAAATGAACTGCCAGAGGAAATGGTAGATGCAGGTACAGTTACAACACTTAAAAAAAAAAAATTTGGACAGATACATGAATAGGAAAGGTTTAGAGGGGTATGAGCCAAATGCAGACAAATGGGACTAGTTTAGTTTGGGAAACTTGGTCACCATGGACGAGTTGGACTGAAGGGTCTGTTTAATTGCTGTATGACCCTCTGACTTTATAAGAGCCAGCACAGGGACAACTGGGGATGGGCAATAGCCAGCAATGCCCACATCACAAGGGTGAATAATATTTTTAACAAGACGTATGTTGACCGTGGTTAGAGGAGAAGGAAAAAGCTAGGCAAGTGGTGTTCCACCCACGGGAGTGTTGGAGAGAATGGTGTGGTCAATCATGTCAAGAAGGATGACTTACTTATTTATCTACTTGACAGGGGGAAAAAAACACATGGTTGAAGATCACTGCGCAGCTAACAACTGAAAAGAATCTTGTAAGAAGGTAGTAAAGAGAGCTGAATGACAGAGACTGGAGTTATAGAGTCATACAGAATGGAAACAGACCCTTCGGTCCAACCAGTCCATGCTGACCATAATCCCAAATTAAATTAGTCCCACTTGCCCGTGCTTGGCCCATATTCCTCCAAACATTCATGGTACTTATCCAAATTTCTTTTAAACATTGTACCCATGTCCACCACTTCCTCTGGAAGTTCATTCCACACACAACCGCACTCTATGTAAAAAAAATTGCCCCCACGTCTTTTTAATTCTTTCTCCTCTCACCTTAAGAATATGCTGACTAGTCTTGAAATCACCCACCCTAGGGAAAAGACTCTTGCCATTCACCTTGTGTATACCCATCGTGATTTTACAAACATCTATGAGGTTACCTCTCAACCTCCTACGTCCCAGTGAAAAATGTTATTTTGAAAGATTAGTAAAATAAACCAAAACACCTATTTCAAAGATTTTATGATTTTTTTTCAGAATAAATCAAACTCTTTTTATCAAACATCCAATGATTGATCGTAACCATATCTCAAAGTTTAGTTGCGAAATGCAGAATGATTGTGTGCAATTCAGTATTTGTTTTAGATTTTGAAAGGCAAAGGAAAAAGTTGCATTGTTTATTGTAGAGCTTTTCAAAAAGAGGTCAGCATTTATATCACACAAAGAGAGTGACTCATCAAGAGCACAATAATTGCACAACTGGTTCTGAGTATTTTACAGGAATAGTTCCAAACAGGTAAGAACAAGCTGACAGATAAACAAGTGTCATGTTCTTGAGATGACTTGCAAAGAAAGGTTAATTACAGTTGAGAGATTGTGGTCTGAATCTTACCCAGAAATGGAGTGTCTTTCTTGTTGAGTTTCTTGGAGAGTTTCGCTTATCTAGGCCTAGTGAGTTTTTCCATGCTAACATCCAAAACTATTTACCATGTCCCAGGTCACAATAGCTTCTCGGCTACTCCCCCACTTGCTGTTGGCAGAAATACTCACCACTGAGTATTACTGAGGAAATACTGAGGAAATGCCGGGATTCCTGGAGCTGGTCAAACTCTACCAGTCTGAAACCTCCCTGCCTGTTTGTGGACACTCATCCCGGGAACAGCTGAGAAGGGAACCTTGGCGCACTGCTTCCCAGACATGAAGCTAGAAGTCTTGGTAGGTGGAATGCTGTAGAGGAGAGCCACCCTCTCTGACCCAGATGCAGGAGAGGAGGCCACAAACCCAGAACTGCCAGCCTTGTCCAAGGTTGGCAGCCAAGTCTGCGTGGTTTTCATGGTCTGGTGGATCACACAGCAGTGTAGGGAAAAAGTCAATGATCTTCTCTGCTCCAACAGAGTGAGAACCACCATCCTCTGTCAGCTAGATCACCCTCTATATCGGCTACTGCTCCCACCTTGCACCAAGGCTCATGCT